TCAAAATCATTATGTTTTAAACCAGTATACAAGTTGCAATAGGGTATACAAGGTCGTTCAACATAAATGTAAAGGCAGTAACAGCAGCCTTGGGTACTTTTGTGTTAAGGCACTTTTGTGTATAAAGGCAGTATTAAGACATGGTATTTAACAGTTGTCTATCTGTCCCATAGCTGATATGAAAAAATGTTTCTGTAGCACGAAATATGTAGCACTGTAAAGTATATTAGGTTTAAGTTCCTGAATACGAACTTAATTCTTATTAATATTGCAACATTTACAAGAATTATTTTTAAAATCCGGCTCGACAGTTCTTTTCTGCATTAATTAATGTTTAATTTAAAAAAAATCATCCCAATTGCTATAAAATTGTGATCTCTAACGATTTTTGAACAGTAAAATTCTATTTGTCCCCACTGTGTGACATCACAAATACTTATCTACCATATCGCGCGTGATAATTCACTAATCTTCTTTAATTAATATGTCCAGATTTATTGCAAATATTGCAAAGCGGTACTTTTGTGTTCACCTCAGTCCGTTCTACGTTCTAACAAAAAATGCGGATGAGAGTCTGAGACATCTTATATATTATTGTACTCCGAAATATTTTTTAAAACTCCTAATAATATTGCATTATAACTATAATCTTCTCATTACGTTCTTATATAAAAAAAAATGAATACATATTCAAAATTATAAACAAATGATAAACGAATACAGCAATTTCTTATTACGTTCTAACAAAAAATTCATTACTTTTAGTTTACAACGGTTGTGACTGCAGAATGCACTCCTTACTTCATGATTAAACTTTTTTCTTCAGTGTTAATTTTTATTGTCTGCTTATTAATGTATAGCTCCTTCTGGTTTCATATCTCGAATGTGAGTTACGCCTTTACAATAAACTGCTCAATAATTATATCCAATAGTTATATCCAAGTTTAAAATTGCACACATAACTTCTTGCCAAAGTTCACAATAACGATATTAATTTTTATTCACACAACAGATAAAGTATTTCCTGGAAAAAATTCAATATATTTGTTACTACCTCAAAGATGAAAACGAAATCTCTATTATTAACAAATACGCGTCCAGCGCAGAACGTAACTCAACTAGAATTATACGTAAGACAAAGTTTGATGTTTTTTAATACACACTGCCAAGTAAAATAGGCAAAATTTTTGACAAATATTGAGGGATTAACAACATTGTTGCACCAAAGTACTTTTGAAATTTCGATAAGTTTATATAGGATATCAGATGAAAGATTATTGAGATATATTTTAATAAAAATAAGTTAATTACCTAAATTAATTTTATTTTATTTTGTTTTCTTTATTTCTATGGTTTTCACTTTTTTTTTATTTATTATATTTTTGCTAATTTCATAAATTAATTATTTTCTCTTTATTGATTCTTAATATAACTTAAGAGTTAATAAAAAGTCCATATATGCAACAATTATATATTTCAGAATTTTGTAAACTATCGATTTATAAAATAATCTTTTTAAATATTTTTAGTAGTTGGGATTATATTTCTTGTTCTCGTTCATCCAATGTGGCCGCACCTCCTCGACCGTTTTTTTCTCATAAATGACACTACTTCGTATCGTACAATGTTGATTGCGACTGAGTATTTTGTTGATCAAGAAAAATATTTATATTTCATAATGCTGCATATGTATGCAGCCTGTTGTATATGTGTGATATCGACGGCGGGGACTGGCACGATTTTTGTAATATGTTTCAAACATGCTTGTGGAATGTTGCAAATTGCTAGGTATGAAAAAGAAATAAATACACACATTTGGATTTTTTAAACATCTTACTTAATATTTCTGAAGAATTGATCTACAGAAGAGAGTGATGGGCAAATATAGAAAAAGAGAGAGAGCAAGTGGGTTGAAGAAAAGAAGAGAGAGAAATATAATTAGGATAATGGAATTTTTTATAGTTACCGTATAAGGCTAGCAATGGAGATCGATAATCGACAAAAGATTCAGCAGAGTTATCGATTTATAAACCAGCGAATCACGATCTATAAGGGCATTCTTTTCGCCATTGATATTCATCGGGAAACCTTAAAGTTGGTATTTATATAACAATAAATATATATGATATTAATATAAATTAATATTAATATTTTTCAATTGTTTCAGTTTTTGCGAGTTCTTTTTTTCCGCGTTTAAATTTACGATATATTTCTCGTCAATACTCGGTGTGATATGTTTGAGCTTCAATATGTTTCAAGTGAGTTTCGTCTTTTTTATAACTATTCCGTCTCATATTTCAACACCTTAGCGCACCACACATAATTAAACATATCTAAAAAATTTATCACCGTGACATTTCAGGTTTTTCAGATTGTTACATTCGGTGGTAAGGTCGAGGAATTCTTCTTGCATTTAGCGTGCATAATTCCCATTCTTGTATACATGTTCAATTTTAATTACTTAGGTCAAGAAATTACAGATGACAATGACAATGTATTTCTCAGCACGTAAGCAATATTGTATAATCGTGCTCGTGATATATGAGACGCCGTTCTATAAATTTAAGATGAAATTAAATTATGAAGAAAATATTTTATACAAATCTTAGTAAATTCTTTTATCTTTCTCAATCATTAATTCATAGTTCAATACTTCTTTCGTAGGTACAATGTTTGTTGGTACATAGCACCACTCAGTATACAAAAATTGATATTATTGCTGTTGCAAAGAGGCAATAAACCGTACACCTTGTCTGCTGCTGGATTGTTTGTTGCATCTTTAAAGTTTTTTGCCAAAGTAAAGAGCACAGCATGTATACTTTAACGTGAAATATTTTAAAATATAAACAAAAATAAATTCTTTTGTTACAGATGACAAATACATCGTTATCTTACTTTACTGTCATGTACAGCGTCCAGAAAAGATAAGAAACATCATATTGTAATAAAAATTCTAATATTTTTACTAAATATATATATATATATATATATATATATATATATATATATATATATACCAGGGTATTTTTTTTAACTTGAGACTGCTAAATATCTTGAAAAATAAGCATTGTACGACAAAAATGTTCCAAATAAACCCTTAATAGTTTCGAGGGCGCAATTCAATCCCACAAAAATTATCCACCTCCCATGGGGATGGGGCGGGGGGTAACTTTGAAATCTTAAATGGGGACCCCTACTTTTTATTACAGATTCAGATTCTATATCCAAAAACACGTAACTTTTGTCTGAACTTTTTTTTTCTA